CTGTGAGCTGTGATGCCACAGCACTCTACCCAGTGGGACAGCTTGAGGCTCCTGTCTCAAAAAAGAAAAAAAAAAAAAAGAAAGAAATGAAGATAAAAACCACCTGGCTGGACGGGGTGGCTCACAACTGTAATCCTAGCACTCTGGGAGGCTGAGGCAGGTAGATTGTTTGAGCTCAGGAGTTCAAGACCAGCCTGAGCATGAGGGAGACTCTGTTTCTACTAAAAATAGAAAAATTAGCTGGGCTTTGTGTTGTGCACCTGTAGTCCCAGCTACTTGGGACTGAAGCAGGAGGATTGCTTGAGCTCAGGAGTTTGAGGTTGCAATGAACTAGGCTGATGCCACCGCACTCTAGCCCAGATGACTGAGTGATGTCTCAAAAACAAAACAAGTTAGCTGGGCGTGGTGTCTTGTGCCATAATCCTAGCATTCTGGGAGGCCAAGGTGGGTGGATTGCCTGAGCTCATTGGTTTGAGACCAGCATGAGCAAGAGTGAGACCTTGTCTCTAAAAAAATAGCTGGCTATTGGGGTGGGCACCTGCAGTCCAGCTGACCTGGATCCTGTCCTCCAGAGGTTGACACTCAAAGGAGGAAGACAAATAAGGCTGAACTGAGAAGCGTTTGATCGCATAGAGAACATGGCAGAGACATGGGTTCAGTTCTATTTGGGGGACTGGGACAGGCAATGTATAGTATTCTGTATATACTTTGAAATTGACATAGGATTTTCTTAAAGGATCTATTTCATAATAAAGGAAAGAGCTTTGAGAAACGTGGAGAGCCAGAATTCTTCCTGACAAGAGGTTTAACAGTTTTAAATAGTGTTACAATGTGGTGGTCACTACCCCACTTAGCAGGGAACAGTGAATAATTTACTAATTACAAGATAATTTTAGACAATCAGCTGTCCCAGATTCCACCAGAGGTTTCTGGGACTTTATGTCCCAGTAACCCTGTCAACTCAGAACTAGGAATACTGTCATACCATCAGTCCACCCTGATCCCAGGCTTAAAGGGAAAGGGAGGGAAGATCATTTATACATCAGCCCAGAACCTGGTGAGAAAAGTGTCTGCCTCATTCTTTCGGGTGCTGATGCTGTTCAAAGGCATTTGTGGACGAGGAAAGGGGACAGGAAGAGAAAAGGATTGGTTTGCTGGAATACGTGGGACTAAAAGTCCCCTAAAGGATTTGCAAACATCTTGCCAACAGTTGAGGTCCTGGATGGACCTCAGGATGGTCCCTGCTCCCTGGACCTCAGGGAGCCCAGAGGCCAGAACATGGAGGTCTGATGCAGAAAGTCTCACTGGGAGTGTAGAGTGGGGCAAACACCCTGATAACCCCCATGGGATTTAAGGGGTACCACGAAGATACCAGTCGGATATTTTTCTCCTTCAGTGGAGCATAAATTTCTTTCTTTTGGGTTTCTTGAGCAAAGATTGTGAACACCTTAGTTTCACTATGTATTTATTCATTTGTGGGCAGATTCTAGTGTGGTGGAGGCAGAGTGGGGGCAAATATATTAAATGGCCCCTGCTCCTTGTGATGGCTCTGCCCATGGTGGGGCCAAGGTGGACAAGTCTCAAAGACAAAGCACACAAAACGTTGGGGTGCTGAGAAAATGAGTCAGGCTAGTGTGTGTCAGAGGGTTCCAGCCCAAGAGGACCCACTGGGTGCCCCTTCCTACTGCCAACCATGCCATTCCATAGTTGTCAATCTTCTCTGTCCTACTTCTGGGTTTTCAAATTCTCGTTACACTGTGCCAATTATATAGGGATTTTCCTTGTCTTTTTCCCAGTCAAAAAATAATTTCCTTTCTCAGACATTACTTCCTCCATGAAGCTTACCATGACCTCTTCCACCCCTAGGCTGTTAAGCATAGACTTAACACTCCGTACACATTGTCACTATAGAGATTACCACACTGTACTGTGACTACTCATTCAAGTATCTCTTCCTCTGGAGTAGAACCTCTTGAGACAGCTCTTTTCTGGCTGTATGTTCTCAGTTTCCAGCACAGTGCCTAGCACATAGCAAAGACTCAACAAATTTTACTGAATGAATGAAAAGACATAGTTTACCAAATGTCAGTGTACTAAGAATCTTTTTACTGCTAGTTAATAGAAATCCAATTCAGATTGGCTTGATGGAAAGAAAAAAAGATGGGCTCACTTATTTGAAAAATCAAGGAAGGATTTCAGGCATGGCTTGATCCAGCTATTCATAAAAAGGTTGTCAGGAAGTGTCCATCTTTCAGTTTTTCTTTCTCCTGGGTTTTATTCTCAGACAAGCTCACACCTTCTGGGGAAAAGATGCTCCCTAGTAGTTTCAAGTTTTCCTTCTACCTCCAGAGAAAAAAGTTTCCTTTTTAAAGTAGCACCAGGCAAAAATTCATTTGCCTTCCTGAGTAATATACTCAGCCTTGGTGCCAATGAATAGGTGCAGTCATCTGGGAAACAATGGACTTAGGGAACAAAAGGCTGATTCTAGAAAGAGAAATCTGGGACCTTTACCAGAAAAAAGGCAGGGGAGGCAGTCAGAACAGTGGGTGCCCATGAGACCTATGGGGCGAATATGGCCACCTTACTTCCCTCAGTCTCAGTAAATGCTGGGCACAACTTTGCTAAAATATACTCCAAAAGTGCAGCTATATGCCTTATTTTGTAGAAAACATGCAGAATTCCAAATTACTCCTTTACTGAAATACCCCTTATTTTCATTGCCTCAGAATCTTTGAGGATTTTTGCAGGGACACATTTTGGGGACTGTGTCTGTGAGGGACATCCTTGCCTAGCTCGCCAAACCCTGGCTTCACAGGGTATTTCTTGAAGTTCCCAGGAAGACCCTGGTTTGCTTCTGCTTTTAACCTCAGGGCCATCATTCAGATTTATTTTTGAGACTGTCTGCCTCTTGCTGGAGCATCTCA